TGCAAAGTCATTTAACAAAGTTTAGAATTTTATTGGCTAATCAGCATGGATTCATTAAGGGAAAATCCTGCCTTTCAAATATTTTGTCATTCTTTGAAAAGGTTACTGTTTATGTAGATGAGGATAAGGGTGTGGCTTTTGTGTATCTGGATATTCAGAAAGCATTTAACATGATGCCGCATAAAATATTTGTAAAAAAAATATTATCTCTATAAGTGCGGGGGATAAGTTAGCAAATTGGATGGAAGAAAGCAGAGGTTTGTTACAAATGGAATTCAGTCAAACTGGATTAATGTCTCAGGGCTCAGTCTTAGGACGTTTGCTCTTTTTGATTTACATCAATGACATAGATGAATGGATAGTCAATAAATTACTTAACTTTGCAGATGATGTTAAGGTTTTGGGTGTTGCTTGCTGTAAAGAGGATGCCGCTGATTTACAAACGGATTTAGATCATTTAGTTGGGCAAGTAAATGACAGATGGGTTTTAATTATAATAAATGCAAGATAATGCATGTGGGTTATCATAATTTGAATTATAAGTATAATTTTAATGGGAATAACCTTAAAAATGTTATGAAGGAAAGGGATCTTGGTGTAATAGTCGACCAGTCTCTAAAGTGTTCAGTATTGGGCTCCTTACCTCAGGAAAGACATTGAATTGTTGGAAAGGGTTCAGAGAAGGGTATGACTAGGGACATAAATATAAGTTTTGGCAAGGTATCAGTCATCTTCAACTAAGACAGTTTCATTTTTCTAACAGAGTGGTTGGCGTTTGGAATGGGTTGCCTTCGAATGTTGTAGAGGCAGCAAATTTAAGGAAGTTTAAGAAAAAGCTTGATAAGTATATGAATCATAAGGGCTGGCTTTAAGATTTTTTTAATTATTTTGATTTAGTTTATAGGATGGAACAGCCGAGATAGACCAATAGATCACATGTTGTCCCAAAACGTTATGTTATCTAGTATTTTAGCTTTGTAAATCCGCAGACTTACCACTGTCCCGTTGGCTGACATAGATAAAGGGAATTGAAGAGTAAAATATTGTTGTAAGCTATATTTTAATTTCTCAGCAAAAACAAATGCGGAATGTAATAATGAGGTTAAAATCACATAGATTCAAAACACCTAAAAAGTTCTAAAAGGTTTGACATAAAATTTTCCAGTAATTAAATGTCAGATTATAAATACAAAATAGTTAAGAATATAGTAGAGTTGTTTCTAGCTGGTAGAGTAAATCAATCAGTTTATTTTCGTTTTTAGTAAAGAATTTGGATCTGGCTTAGTTATCTCGCTTATTGAATTACTCTGTATAAGTAAGCTGATTTTCATGTAAGTATAGAGCAGTTAGCGTCATTTGTGAATATGGCCTAAAAGTCCACATCGTTCAAGCTTGTAAAAGCATTAAGGAAGAAATAAGCTATTTTTTATCATTTATGTGAATTGGATTTTGAATTAATCTCACCATATAATTTAAAGAATTCGCCAATGAGAGAACAGCAACACAATAATATCCTAGCTAGGGTTTATATCAGCTAAGTACATGTACTACTTTTGAACCATGTGTAGTATTCGTTGATAAAGGCATGAGAGTTCTAGAGTTTATAACATAAAATGCTATTTCGTAAACATCCAGAAATACAGCTTTTGAGTAGATTGCATTTTTTAGTTTTTGTTTAACTTCATTACAACGTTGTTTTATGTTGTTGTTTTTTCGATCACTCATGTGGCCATCATCAGGTACTGCCGTATATATTGTTACGTCTCTGGTCGTTTGTTAATTTCCCGTAAAATTTCTTTCGGATGAAACTTTAGCGATACAAGTACTTTCTTAAATAAAACTAGTTTATTCTTTCTCAATATAACTTTGCAATACACTTAATTTTCACAGTCACTTTTACTTAAACACACGCCATAATTCACAACGATTCACGCATTTTACTTACGGTCACTATCGCGCTTGATTCAATTGTCCTTCTCTGTCTCTGTCTGTCTGCAATTATCTATGCCGTCACTTCATTTGCCTGCTTATATAATCTCATGACGTGTTAGCAGGGTCACGTGACTTCCGCTGTCGTAACAATATATTGTGTTATATATATTGCGCGAACATTTTGTTCCAATTTAGAAAACACATAGGGTGACACCTGTGTTTTAGTTCATGAATAATTAATGCTTATTATATTTTTTCTTCTATTAATGTTGTTCTCATTACTTAATATTTTAAAGTTGTTAATGTTAATTAAATGATGATTCGTAGTGGTCTGTTCATAAATGTGTGATGGAATACTGTTATGTTCGTTGATCTTAATGCTTATGTTGTGTTCCGTATCGCTATGGATATATTTGCTGAGGCTATTTGTTTAGGAAAGAGTCAGTTTCAGTACGCACAATCCGATTATGAAACCAAAGTCTTAGATTGCATTTAGAAGTGCTCTACTTTCTGAGTAAGTTTTTGGATTTCTTTTCTCTGAAAACCCGAGCAACACTTTTACAATCCTCTCCAACTGCTCCCAAACAGCCTTTACTTCCTCCCATCGACACGAAAATCTTGTCACACTCAATGACTTGAGCGTCAAAGCAAGGTGCTCACCATCCACTTCTATGTTTCCAAACAATGCACACCATTTGGGGCTCACTTCTAAAAAGATGTAAAGATCCTGGATTGCACCCAGGGCATTTCTCAAAAGCTCAGTCTGGGTAATTCTGTCCTGGAGTGTTAGATTTAGCAAGATACTGTAGCAATGAATGTAAATAGCTAAGGGAGAACTAACTTTCACCCGAGTTGCTAATCTTTTATGAATGCCGCTCATGTTTGAAGCAATCAACACACTAGTCCATAATGTTTTCCACAATGACTTTCTTCATTAGCTCATACAGTACCTCTCCCTCAGTTGATTTCATGGCATAAAAACTGACGAACTCCTCTTTTTTCACTCCTCTAGCAATGAACCTTAAACACAATGCCACTTGATCAGTTCTGCTAATGTCAGATGTCTCATCGTTCCAGTACGAGGTCGGCAATTATTTGGAGAATCTCATTTTGTATTCTAGGTGACGTCCATTGGGCGTATCCTCTGGTTGGTTTATTAGCTTGTCTTCCAGCCAGGGTATATTTTTACACCTCATGTGAAGCAATTCCAAAAAGTTTCCCCCGATTGTTCTCTAACATTCTATCGTATCCCTCTTTTCCTCGTGGCCCCCCAGAGGCACAGCGGTATGTCTGCAGACTTACAACGCTAGAAACCGCTAGCTTTGTGCATAAATTCAAACAAACAAACAAACTTTTAATTGTGTCTGTGCTGCACAATGTTTTGCTGAGCCATAAACATCAAGCGTTCAATGATCACTTTCACGTTTTTGCAATTTAACTGAACATACTGTTTATATGCGGTATCCAATTGAGTGATGATTGAGGTTTGCTTTTTACTGTTGGATCTGGCATTAATCCATTTTGTCATCGCCAAACACTTTTAGCGTGCTTTTTTTCCAATTCACAAATAGAAACGAATCATTGTTCAGATGTTCCCCGCACACATTAGATGAACTGTCGTTATCGTTGTACAGTAACTTAACCAGTGATGCTGCTTGTACAATTCTGGTTTAAAATCTCCTGTGAACATTTCTTGTCCAAACTTCCTCTTGTCGAAAACAGTCATTATCGGTTGCACGGGTCCTTCATTGCGGACAATGTCAGATGCAGCAAGTTTTACACACGCGAACTGAACGGTTACCTTATAGATATAGACTCAAAAGCAACGGATGACCCATTCTCACTGTTATCCGAATCCATACAGTGAAATCCGACAATGGTACTCTCAATATTGAATGTACTATCCAAAGTTTTTGGAACCTCCTGTCGAGAAGGATTTGGTCGAAATTTCTTGTTCGAAATAAATCCTTGAAGATGGTTAGCGTTGGAATCACTATCACTATTGCTATTCAGAGTCAGGATTGGCATATCTTCGCATCGTAAATGTCCTCCGAGACCGGAGGTTCGGGCAGGCGTTCTCTTGTTGATGACGTGTCTTCAATTTCAATAGCATCATCACAAATTGCTGCTTGACTATCCAACTTGCAACGTTTTCTTCTCAGCTGCTCTTGCCAATTACAAAGCTTAGCCGCGCGTGATAACGTGGAAGAACTGTGGTGGATGTCACTTTCTTCCCTTTCTGTTTATTTTTCATGTGAGTATCTCTATATTCAGAGTAAATTTCTTTTCTGTATTCTTCGCACAAGAATCGATGGTGCTTGTTTCTGTGGCTGGTGACTGGACATGACTCTCGGCCTAACAGGTTTCAATATCTAAAACGTTTGGAAGGATAATGAACGCAATGTAAATAAATTATAGTCATGAAGCAAACCAGGTTCACACAAGAAATAAATAAAAATAATGCGATACGCTTTTACTTACCGTGAAGTAAAAGTGACGAAGAATGAAGTGATCGTTAGACAATTTTAGTTGCAGAGAAGATTCGTAGTCTTGAAAATCGACTTTTCCAGTTGGCGTGTAGTATTTGCTGTGTTGTCTGTCGTAGGGGATATTTCTAACTGCAAGCTATGCACACTCTGACTGCAAAGACTGGGACAACATGGAGTAAATGACTGACTGAGTCAGCGAGCCAAGGGTCTACTGTACAAAACCTGAGCATTAATTTTCTTAGCATACTCAGCAAAGCGAGAGCGTTAAGTAGGCTGCTTAGACAACAGAGCGTACACTACCTTGAGGGAGATGGAGTGAGGGGAAGGTCAGAATAATACTATATTAATGAGAAATTGATATCAAAAGTATTTCTTAAAAATCTATTTAACAAAATTTTGCCTGAGAGTCATTTGATTTCTGCCCGACTTTTAGGTTTATTTGCCCGAAGAATTAAGAATTTTCCGAAAGTGTGGGGGGCTGCACCCCTTAGACCTCTCTGCCTCGTACACCAATGGCAATAAAACAACTTAGAACAAACCATTATTTTTCTGTGCAGCCTAAGCTAATAACAGTGGTCTTTTAAAACACATACAACATCTCAGTATCTGAAGATAAATTCTTTATCACATTCGTGAACCTAATTTGATGTACATAAACTGGTTAAAATATGTAACAGAAAACACACCTGTGATGTTGTAGATATGTATTCATCATCTATATTAGTCAATGTTTACTTGTAGTACATGATGTCATCATTCAGCAGCTAGCCTGGTTTAAACAGCAACCAACACCAGCATCAGCTGCTCTCATTATGTGTGCCAAATACGTGTTTCTGGCATTCAGGTATTATTTAAAGAGTTAGATTTATTGCTACTTTAACTATCTCACAACAATAACAGTAGAAGTATGCAGAAATGGCTTATACTGTTATAAACATCATCCAGGTCACATTTTGTGGCATCAACTACAAAACACTTATATGCACACATAGTCCAACGTAGTAAGTGCACAAATGACAACAATAAAATTACTTTAGTCATCATAACGTAGCTGTTGTCCAAATCATCATGTTTGTTATGAAGTCTATTTGTATTGCCATTTAGAGGTCGTGAAAACCTCGCTATATCAGAAAATTGTTTGTTTTGTTTGTTTTTGAATTTCGTGCAAAGCTACACGAGGGCAATCTGCACTAGCCGTCCCTAATTTAGCAGTGAAAGACTAGAGGGAAGGCAGCTAGTCATCACCACTCTTGGGCTACCAACGAATAGTGGGATTGACCGTCACGTTATAACGCCCCCCCCCCCTTTGTCGTCAGATACAATATTCAAAATTCGATCATGTGGTCAGGGCCTCACTTGCGTAGTTCTTTATTTTCGTCACTTATTCTTTATCACTTAAAAATAACGAATAAAAAAACTTTAATTTTTAAAGTACTGCAAACTATTTTTAGTGTGCATTACAAATATATTGAGAAAATGTAATTTACATGTATTTGATGCAGATAATAGACCATATACTTCGTACCATTCAATAGATGACGCCACAAGAGTTTATAAAGTTTTTAGTTTGTTGTTAAGTGCAGAGCTACACAATGGGCTACAAGTGCTCTGCCCACGGCATATACTGAAATACGATTTTTGCGGTAAAAGCCCTTACATATACCGATGAGTTGAGTAGTTAATCCCAACAGTACTGTGAATTATAATTTATTAAAATTTGATAATTTCGTGACCCTTGTAGAAATTAGACACGTAAATGTGTTATTACTGTTACTGCAATATATTATATAAGAAGTATAAAGACTTATACCAAGTATGGAAATGTTTAATTTTATTTTTCTAGACCTCTAATTTCAAATTTCTTACAAAGATAACGAAATTCCTGTATAGCTTTATAATAATAACATTTTATTCCTACATGAAATATAGCAAAGAATTGAAACTCCTTCGTGAAATTTTCTCCAAAAGCACACATGCCCGCGCGTTTTTTTTTAAAGTTAAATTCTTTATCTCTTGAATTTCTAAACTAGCCCTTAGTAAAATTTATGAGTACCTTTACTGGCGAAACCACGATCGTAATAAATGGTGTATTTATGAAACATACAATTGTCTTGTTTTACTCAATTCTGTAATTATGGAGTTTTATTAAGTACCGACGGTTTCAAGTATCATTGTTTATATATAAAATGTCTCTAATTTAGAACACAAGTTTAAAATACACATGTTAAGTACAGACTGAAATGTTTTGTAACATTATATATATGTTTAAACAAATAACCAGAAGTGACCTTGACATTCAATTAAAGACAAGTTGGGAGAAGCTCAAGTTGGCTTGGTCGTAATAAATGAGGTATTTGTGAAACGTACAGTTGCCTTGCTTTTCCTCAATTCTATAAATAATGAATTAACTAACTATTATTGTGAAGTTTATATGTCGTATAATTTTATTTTCAAAACTCAAATTAGTTTCAGATGCTTAACGAAAAACATTTTATAAACCATTGAAACATAATTTACAAATTTCTTCAATATTCCTCCCCTCCTTTCATGAATTATGTCTTATGTTAAATGTTCGAAGCGCCTAATACATAGGGTAGAAGGGACACGTGCACCCTAAAATTTTCAGGTGGTGTTCATGCATTATTATTAACAACTAAGCTAGATCGACTTAACTACACCCTCTTCCAACAAAGTTGGGCAGTCATGCTCCATTGAATAAAAATCATTGCGTCAAGTTGCGCAGATAGTGAGCGAGTCACGTGATTGGGACAGTAAATTATCGTTACGTTATCTTTCCGGCAAAGTAGCCGTGCGTGTTGTAGGGTTTGTTCCTTGATGTAAGTTTTGTTTGTGTAGTTACTTGGGCCCAACGAACGTCCATGTGATTTAATCTTACAAAGATCAAACAAGAGTATTATAAGTGATAACATTTTAAAAAGTAGGCGAGCTTTGACGTAAGTACTGTTTAATGTATTTCTATTTTAATATTTTGAAAACCTGTTCCGAACATTTTAATCTATTGTTATAAATGTGGCATACATTGGTTATTTATCTTTGTTAGCAATACTATACAATATCGAAGTGTGTACTATGAAAAAAAAGTGGGGAACTACAGTATATGATAAGTTTCATTAATAAAATAGATAAAGTACAGTAGAAACATTATACCGCAAAAAAATAAGTTTTATTTTACTTTTCTGGATGAGGAGCTAATACTAGTCATTGGGATAAAATGTAGAATGAAATATGGGCATGAAAGATGCTACTGTGATTGTGTACAATATTTCTTTGTTCCCAAGTTTGTTTATTTGTTTTACTTTAACTTTAAGTTAACACAGTTTGGTATCTGTAAGTTAAAATACGGTTTATTGCTCTCACTAAGCTGTTGTAGATGTTGTTGAAGATGCACTGTTAAATTTCAAAGCACCTAAATGATATGTTGAGATATTCGATACTGTTAGCTTTAGATATAATATCTTAACCATTTTATTATAACTCTACACACTTGTTAGTCCAAATGGTCGGGCGTGAACTCGTGAATTCCTGGTTTACCTTGTTGACGTGATGTAAGAGAGACCGTTGAAACCCCCTACTTGGTTAGACAAGACGAGTCAAAGAGTTGACGGTCTGTCAGATCAAAAATAGGGATTCATATGTGCAGATAACCTATCGTGTATCTTTTCATGAACATTCTAAAACAAACAAAAGCTAGCCCAAACACCTTCTACTGTAATTTTGCAAGTTCCTAAAACTTGAACAACCTACGGGCTACTTATTCAACTTAAGGTGTGAAAATATTTAACTTACCAATTTCAATCGAAAGTCTACATTGAATAATTGTACTGAAAACTGAATTTAATTTAATGGAATCAGTTGAACACTAAAGGCACATTTGATATCGTAATCCTATAATTATCGGACGAAAAGTATGACTGATATATACACACACACACACACACACACACACACATACAAGCTTGGAGTCTTACTTTCGCCGGTACCACAAAAAGCAGGGTACATTACATAATGACCCACCTTACGGTTTGTGCCCCGGTGTTAGATGTTTGTATTGTGGCTGCGATTTTTTTTCTCTTCTCTCTCGTAATTTACATTTAATTATTTTTCATCTAAGGTTTACATACGCTGCATAAGATTCACGCTGTCCTTTCTTATGATCTATTGTATTCTTTAATTTTTAGCCTTTCTAAATATTATTATAAGTAAAGTATGTGGACTTACTAACTCGAAGTAACAAATTGAATATTGGTATCCATTTAACCATAACTATGGCTTTAAAGAAACTCTTGAAATGATTTTTATCTGAGCTTATTTAAACAGTGAATTTCTGGGAAACACGGCTAATGTTTCTATTTCTTAAGATCAGACTAGTATTGAGAACCAATATTTTGAGATGAACAGCATATTTTTTCCAAAGATATTGTCGTTCTTTTAATGTTGATTAGAAACATGTTAGGCGTACAAATAAAGAGTTTTTAAAAATAAGCCAGTGCAAACACTTGCACATGCTGATCTGAATGTTTTTTTTCCAATGTTTTATTAAATAGGCACTGACACAAACTGTAGGAAAACATTGATATGTGCCAAACCAATAATATAAGATTGAGTTCTTTCATTTCGTGATCAGGTTCAGCTTAGTTTTTGAAGGTTAAGAGATTCGAGATGTACCAATCAGTATTTAAAAACTTGCAACTAAGTGCTGTTTAGGGAACAAGAACATGCTAGAAAAGTACTACCCAGAAAGTGTTTTTATTATGCTATAAATTAGTTGTCTTAGATTATACATGTAAATTAGTATTTTTTTTTTATGTATATCTTTTATTGGATGTAGTTAAGACTTAAGGTGATCATTATAAAATGATTTAGAAGAATAAACTAGCAGCATCAATCCTACATATTCTTAGAAACCTATACCGTATAGGTTCACTGTGATGGACATAAAATTGAAAGTTAAAAAACTACCTTTAAAATATATACAGTTCCACTATAAAGAAAGTCTTGCCTTTGTCCAGGATTACAGATGAGATGGAATTCCCCGAAACCTGTATAACCCAGTTACAAGAGGTGAATTGATTAATACATTAATTATCATATTTCTTAAGTTTTTAATATAACTACCATATTATCTACAAATTCATTTTTAATAAATTCAACAGAAGCTTTCATGTGAATATGTTATAATTAATGCTTTATTGGACGGTTAAAATGAAAGAAAGCGACGTGAAGCTAAAAAAAATATTTTAAAAACTAAACTGAGAGCGATTCACATTGCTATTGTCTGTCTTTTTTTATTGTCTTCCTTGTTTTAAAAACGTTTGTGATAGAGCACGCAACAAATATCCCAAGAAGGTTCTAGTTTAAAGAACATTTAATTATAAATTAGAGAAATACATGCGTTGCGATTAATTTATAAAACATGGCATTGTTCACGAAATTATTTACATTTATACCCCTGTGGATTTTATCACAAAATTAATTGAAAATTACATACGTCTTGCGTGAATACAGTTACTTAGCGCTGGTAGCATGTCGTCTGTAGAATAACTTTTCCTTTTTACATTCTAGTATGCTAAGAAAGCAAACCAGCACAATGTATTTTTCTAATATGGAATACTAAATCGTAAATCATAAGTGTTTTTAAAGTATACAGTCTTTGATTGCCGCACAATACCGATAATAATAATTCGTCAAATAACGTTTTGTGGGACTTTATGTGGGAAATCTTATAGAGTATAATATTAGCTTATATGCAAGATTTGTTGTTTCTTTCTTTTCGTTGTGAAAGGATGATTCAGATTTAATATACTTTTGTACGTTACTTTATTTTCAGATTGTTATGAGAAACTTATTACAAATATTTTGTTAGTAATATGAGTTTAATATACTTCGTATGTTACCATTTAAAAATGGAAATTAAAAAAAAACATACATTGTTAACGTTAACTAAAACACATCTTTGTTTAATATGACAAGAAAATACACTTAGGCAAACTACACAATTTTAAGATTATCTCGGACAATAAATGTCTTACTTTTGTAAAGTGAACAACATGAATCTTCATTCAGCACGACATTGAGTAATGTGTAATGTAGGATATATGAATTTAAATAAAAAATTAAGTGTGTATTACTTCTAGAGTACATCTGAAAACAGACCTAACATCTGGTGTACAAGACATGCATTTTGAAGATTAGTTTTGAGACAGTAGATTAATAATCGCTATAATAACTCGCATGTAAAATTATTACACTATTCTATCGCAGAAATAAAATAATGTTTGGTAATATAGTTATTCTTAACTTTTAACTGGCTTGGATTTTATAAATTTGTTTCAAAGACACTGAAAATACGCCTACCGTATTAGAATAGAATGAACAACAATAATAAAATGTTTAAGATCTGTTTCTTAGTGCTTATGTATCGAAAATTTAAAAGAACGATTTAATAAACACGGAACAGTTTTATAAAGACGCAAATTTACATCTTTTTCTTTTGCAGATGTAGATGTTTATCATGAGAGTTATTAATCTAATTTTGTGCAGTTAACGTTGTAGCTCGAGAACCCTAAAAGTTCCTTAATTTCAGAATCTAAACTATTCTTTATAGCGCTGTTTAAAATAATAGTTTGTTGCTTTGAGTGGAAAACTGGCGTATTTGTTGGCTAACTTACTTTCGTATTTGTGGGGTAATCAATTATTAGGTCAAGACAGAAATAAAATAAAAGAAACTGGTTACATTCACCAATAAGTTGAGTGTTACACGGCTTCTCCTGTTTTCCAGTGCTTATGTAAATAATAATAATCTAAATTATTCCAGAATAAGTAAGTGAAGAGGTTTTATGTAGTATGCTAATACTGTTAATTGAGAACATGGTAAATGGAATACGAACAAATTAGTTTCAAATGAATTAATATCAGTTTTTAAATACGGTAATGAATGGGCATTAAGGTTTTTCCATAAATATTGTTGGATATATTGGGGAAGATCTTAATAACTAAATACTGTAATAAAACAATGGGTAACAATCATCCTTGAGTGGATGTAATTATTAGATATTTGAATCTTTTATACTGGCAATTCAACGTCAGTACATTAACTAGGACGCTTTACTAACTAAGCGAAGGATATTCCAACACAAACTAAGAGGTAAATTAGAAGTTATTTAATTTATTTATTTAAGTATTTGTTTGAAAAAATTGTAAACTTTCTTTTGCTATCGATTTTTTCAGTTATGAGAAGTTAGTTCCCAAAGAGAAACGGAGTAGATTATATGCGATTCAAAAATTGAATCTTGGAAAATGTCCTGTCTTCGGATGGTATATTTTGTAGTATTAGAACCTAGCTATAAATATTTAAACGTTTTTATCTTCATTTTGAAATTCTAATGTATAGCGTATTTTATTTAAGAATGTTTTTGTTATAATTACAATTAAGTGTATTTCGTATAAAAATTACATTGAGTTTAAGCGCACCATGGCTGATTTGTTTGTCGCGTAAGTTTGTGAGTTTTCGAATATTTTAAGCACTAGTTTGCCAGTTTTTGTGCATAGTTGCTGCTGAAATCCTATTTTCAGAGTTGCGAATTTTCGTTATTCTATCCTAGGTTTTTATAGAAGAAATCAAGCTTTAAATGCGATTGTATTTTGACCAATCACCATGGCCGCTGCAGGAACTGGTTATTTAACTGAAGGTAGGAGGAGGATTTTAAAGTACAGTTGAAGTTTACACGTGTCTCAGTCGGATTAGAATTATATAGCATTTATTCGTGAGTTTAAATACAGGGTTAAAGGTGTATACAAAGAGGAATAAAGAACGATCAGTGTTGTAAAGGGTTTTTATATAGATATCTTATCGTGACACAAAATACACGAGAAATAACTTAATCTACGGTACACTTGTACAATCATAAAATATCCTGTAATATCCTGCATATAAATTTTAATCTACAGTGTTTAATACTATTAATACAAAATTAATAGTAACATACAATAAGCATTCGTTTGTAATCAGATTTCTCCCATATATAGAAACAATCGTGGATCCAATGTGTGCCCATTCTGTGAATTCGTACTAAACCTCAAAACAATAATTAACTATTTATGGGCTTTGCTGTGTTCGTTATCTTCTTTCTACTGTCACACAGCATGACTCTGATTTATATTCTACATAAAGGTGTTTGATAAAGTTGTGTAAAAAAAATATTAAAAAAAGCGTAGTACCAAAACCGTAGATTTACCGTGTAGGATGTAGCAGCAAAGTAGTGATAAAAGAAAGTTTTTCTAATAAAACGGTTTTACTCTATTCACTAATACAAAGTCAACACAGTTTATCATCAAGCGCGTACCTTCAGAACCAATGACAATAACTTTCTGTGTTCCAACCACATTCATCATGATTCAGCCACATAAATACCATAAATAGAATTTAAGAAATCGGAATTATTTCCCCGGAAACATGTATATATATATATATAACGTGTTTACTGACATTGTTAACTTTTGAAAATGTAAATTGTATTCGATAAATTCATACAAAAGAAATTTAGCAGACAAACGTGGAGATGGACTGTAAATTAATATGAACGCTTCATGTTATGTTGTATTCGAGTATTACAACATGAAACCATGCGCTTCTTTTCACTAGGTATTTTTGTAAAACAAATAAACAAATTAATCGTGCAATAAACTAGAATTTATATGAACTCTACCTAGTTTTTATTATTCATATTAAAGACAATTAAGCGCAAACATAGCTGTTAAACTTTCTCAATTGAAAAGTTGATTAATCCCATGCGTTTCTACATGAATCAAAAATAATTGTTTCATAACGATTAGTTTAGAATTACAAAGATCGGATGGTATTAGACCAGAGATATTGTGTATTCTACTGACTGGGGTGAACAGCGTTAATCTTAGATGTACTGGACTGTTCGTATCATTGAGGTAAAGGAAAATCCGGAAAAGTGTGATAGCTTTTAACTGAATATACTGAAATATTAATAATTATATTCCAAACTCGTATCCAAAACATCGAATTTTTTTGTATTTAGGTGCTATTTGTTTCACAGTGAAGAGAATTCAGATTCAGTTTCGGGGATTCTGTAAAGCTTTAAGTAACAGGGTTGAATGATAAAATCTATAATGGAAAGTCGTAAAGCCAAATCTTATGGCGCACGATGCGGTCGTTCCATAAAAAGCAAACACTGAAGGAACTTAGGAAACAATTGTTGACTTCTTGATAAGTCAACTTTTAGGGTGAAAACCTTCTTTTATATGAAATCCCACTCTTCTAAAGAAACATCAATAAAATATCAATTATTAGCTTATGTCTGATCTATTGAAAGAAGAAGAAACGAACTACAGATTATAAGGAAATTTACTTTTAGCGAAAGTCTTGGTAACATTCCAACGATGCTTGGCATTTTGCCAAGATGTGGTTATCCTGAGTTATATATAATAAGAATTCTGTGATAAGAAAAATCAATACATTTTGTGTAACATGGTTAGTTCTTCATGGGGATGATAGTTTCTTTTCACTGTAAAACTACCCTATAAATCACGTTTTCTTAAGAGTTTTTAGTAAAGTTGTTAAAATTAACCTTACAAATTAATTAATTTTTTATATTTTAAAATAAACTTGCTACAAAGTTACTTTGCTAGTAATGTGAGGTGTTTCATATGTTAACTACAAAATTGCAAGTTTAACATTTAATGAACCATATACCATGAGAACTTGTAAGGAAAAGGTGCAGTAAATTTAGACCAAGGGTCTGGTAACTATCAGAAGGCCCCGGCAAGTTCCAGGGGACGAAGCCCCCTGAAACTTGAAGGTTTTTAGCAGTCAGGGAAGTACAAATATATTTCTATAAGACTGCACACCTTTTTGAACTGCAAATGAAATAATGATGCAAAAAATAGAATGCACGATACCACAAAAAAAAAGTAGTCTTAACTATTCACAATATAAAGGTTTGTTAAATGGACCCCATTGTTTTATCATTGAGTAGCTTACATGCCACATAATGTGCATGCAGAAATTTCTGGCTATGTCCAAATCTTTAAAGAGTGATTAGTTAACGATCATTTTAGCCGAAAGAGAGGAAACATTATAGAACCATACCATACAAGAGTCTTAAAAAGGCGATATTGGCTGTTTATTTGTATATTCTTCTCAGAAAACAAAGGATTATCTCTTCTTTCGCGAGTGTACAAGAATCTCAATGTTTGAAACAGACAAGAACTAACCTGTATATTGCTGTTATTGCGACTAACGAGAAATCTTATTTTCTTTATGTTGCTAATCATTTATTTTAAATATAACTTTCAACAATCAGTGTTACGAACAATCCTAACTAAAGAATTTTTAAATTCTGAAACTTAGCATGAAACACTTCCTACGGACTTTTCTGTAGAAAATCAGTAGCGGTTTTAAAAGGAAAACTTCCCTACATATTCCGACCGCTCTGCCATTTCTTTTTCTTCAGTAAGTTACAACGATGTGTAAGCTATCCTTCCAGTCTAATCGCTCACCAAGCGTCTTAACAAATATTTATCCATTTCCAGACCTTTCACGCTTCTACTTCAATGTCATCTGCCAGCAAGTCAAGGCGTTAACATGAAAATTAAGGATTACGGCAGAAGGAAAACTAACGCTAAGAATAAAAAAAAACAACTAAAGCCCAATATCGTAGGTTAGTACGAAAAACAAATATCGGACAGATTAAAAATGTTTCGAACGTTTAGCAAGTTTGTGTATTTTTACGTACCAGTTTTGTACTTGTAGCTTAAATGCTTAAGCATATTTCAAAATTAACAAATTGTGCGATTACATTTTGCCCAAATGAACACTAAAAATAACTCAAAACATCGGAAATAAACTTTTACAATCAAATTACATAGACGTGCACATTAATTATCCGGAGTATAATTAATAGTAACTTTAGGCTTACATTTATTAACTCAGCATAGTAAATTCTCTACGCCCTCTATGAAATAAAACAGCTGAGTTTTCCCAGTTAACTATATAATCGAGCAATATATGCTAACAACATAGATTTGTATTTCCATAATTTGTCTTCTAATTTTTGTGATCCGAAGAACTTGTTATTAGGTTAAGCAGTTTGCGGAAATGCTACTTCAACTAATAATTAGTTTGTGTTCGTTTATTTGCGACATATTGTAAAACATTTTGATTGACTTAGGCCAGAATTAGTGTATATGGTTATTGTGAACCAAGAACCAAATAAACTGAAAATTACACTACATTAAAGTACAGTTACTGATGTAGGTTAGTGACTATCGCTATAATTATGAATTTGAAAAGGACGAGCGCCAAGGTGGGAAACACTTTTATTTTAAAACTGCCTAGTTGCTTGTCTTAAACAATATAACTATAAATATAACATTTAACAAAAAGAACGATCTATGGTAGAGTATGATCTTAAATCTGATCTGCGTCAAATATATTATTTGGAATAACATGTTAATGACGAGGCTTTTACGGAGGTCTTCTTGTTAAGGGCGCAAAGTCGCCTTATTTACAAATATTATTAGTTTATTCAAAAATTACAACTTACATTAGTTTGCACAACAGTTCCCGAATCAAACTGAAGTTCTATCTCTTCCACTACATAACACGAAGTTTAACATGTATTGTATAACATGTCTTGCTAACAACAGTTAACACTAAACTTAATGAATAACTGTACAGAAACTATGAAGAACGTAAACAAATTCTCTGAAAGCTTTAAAACGAAACCTAAGAAAAAAATATTTTGGAGGTTCGCTTTTAAAACCGACATTTAAGAGGACTTTGATATTAAAAGTTTAAGTTAAAAAAAAAAACAACTAGAAAATGTGGTGTCTAACTATGCCAGAAACTATCACGACAATGTCACAGGTCGGCGGGAATTAATAACATAAATACAAAGCCATTCAACTAATATTTTACACCAAAAATTGCATTATTTTAACAATGGTTCATAGAAATAACTTGTATATTTATAATTTGATATGCCACTACATAACACGAAGTAGAACAGGTCGAACACAGTAATTTTAAAATAATTGTAGAGTAGTTAACCAGTTTAGAGAATCAAAAGTGGGAAATATTAAAACGCATAAAAACGGCTAATAATTTGAATATAACGTCGTTTAATCGTCGAAACTCTCTGGAATATAGTTTATCCTAGATAAAGAAAAGAAGTGGCTCGAATTTTGACAACCATTATTGTTTTTTAAATCATTATACAAATACATTTGCTGTAATTAAGTTGAACACCATACATTGCATTGATTTACACACATTGGGTTTGAGTAAATCTATCGGGGACCTTGGGTATTATATTCATTGGGTCATATTTACGACTTGTGTAAGTAAGTGTAGTGTTTGGATCACTTGATCAAGTAGCTGTTCTAAGTACTTATTTCAATTACAAAATTGTCAGTTAATACATATACCTATTTCATAAGATGATGTAATATTAACTTCGTCACTAGCTGAATTATATCAATAATAAAAATAAGGGGGAGATTATTATGAAACTTCATTATGACTTTTTGTTTATTGGTACCTCGCAAAGACAGCTTTAAGTTTGAGGGTTTAGTGTAGTTTCCATCTGGAACTACTCGAGAATGTGATGTTTCTCGTCTACATGTTTGTGAAGTTTGAAGTATCAGAACCAGTTACCAT